TAACCCTACGAGGGGCACCGCTAAAACAAAATGAATACTATAAATTGCTTTTTATTAGCGAGAACTTTATTTTTGCGTTATTATACGAGGCAGTATGCGCGCGAAAATTTGATTTACGTGACTTAGTTTTGCCAGAGTACCTGCATTTAGTCCTTCGTCTTCAGTGGCACCAGTCATGACACTCTCCACTCGGAAGATCCCGGTCTTTATTAATCTCTCTGGTGTATCCGGGATAATGTATCCATCCACAACAGGACGGAATTGAGGAGTGAGTGACGGAGACGTCTGAAAGAAAGCAAATATGAGCATATCATGCCTCACAGTCCTGTCTTTCTAAATATTCAAGCGTTCCGTTCTTTAATGTTCGAAAAGGATTACTAATTATTTCACAAGAATGCGATGACGGTGTGGCAATGAGATGACAATCATGCGATTGCATGATAGGGCGATATCGATGACACAATAGCGCAATTACAGGCTGTACATTGTCGCGATGGTTTTAAGCGATAGCGATGTTCGCTGTCGCTCCATTGTGCTACCGCAGCATCGTCAGCGCATTGTCGCGCCATCGCAACATTGTCATCGAAACATCGATGCATCATCATCGCATTATTGTGCCTTCAACTATTTAATGATCTGTGTGAGTCTAACCGGATTCCATAGGTTACTCTATGCATCAGATAAGTATATCCCGATCATTTCATGGTGGGGCATAAAATATGCGAGTGTAGGACCCTTCTTTTAACTTTTTTTGTAAGTTTAATGACTGAAAGTATTATCGAGAAATATGAAACCCCTCTCTCTCTTTTTGAAATAATACAGTTTATTTCAATCTCAAAGTGAAATACAAGTAGGTACTTTGAATAAATCGGGAGGGAGTCATATGGAAAATTTATTAAAATATTTTCGTGTTTCTTCCTTGGAATCATATTCTCTTATTAAAAATTTTGGTCGAAATCATTAAATTTAGATTTGACATTAGTTCTGACATTTATTGTAAATTGAGTTTAATTAAATCTATATTTTTCTTTTCTTTTTTTAAGTTGCATACACAATGAAATAAGAAGAAGTTCTATCATATTGTCATAAAACTAAATATGAAGAGAGTTATATAGAAAATTTATTTAAATAAAGATTCGTGTTTCTTACGTGGAATCATATTCTCTTTTTGAAAATATTGGTTGAAATCATTTAATTTAGATTTGACATAAGGTTTGACATTTATTGTAAATTAAGTATAAATTGAACCTGTATTTTTATTTGTTTGAAAGTTGCATGCATCATTCCATATTCAATGTAAAAAAAAAAAAGTTCTGTCAATAGAACGTACAGGAATATTTAAAGTTAGTCACTGAAACCCTGCATATATTAAAAGGATGCAATAAAACCTACCACATATTTATATGAAATATGCTTAAGCATGACGTCTGTGGGTATTTTTTGAAGACACTCTTTAATGAGTCTAGAACTGTTCCGCAGACAACCGATGGACGAAACAAAAATTTTAAAATGGATGTTCGGAGCCGTCACTTTTTCGGAGTAACTCCAGTGTGCTAGGGGTGATCCACTCTGTACTATAGCTCTCCGGAACAAACCTACAAAATGCATATTTAAATTTTAAAATATCTTCTATATTAAACAAATTAAGTAACTAAAGTTATATAGAGTAAAACATGCTTATAAAAAAGTGCCAGGGACGGGCGATATTGCGTCATCAACGTTATAAACGTAATTCATTAGATATCCAATAGTTTCACATTCGAATGTTAGAAACCCAAGACAGATGAAAATCACTTCGCTTTAATTAACTATAAGCGGGTTCGCTATAAGATGGTTTTACTGGGTTCAAATAATCGCTTTAATTTAACCCCCCCCCCTCCTTTTTTGGCAAACTCATGATCTGCACCAGATGAAACACCTGGCTGTTGTGGTAAATGTTATATTGATGTTAATACATAAACAATTTAATTATCACATATTTACATTAATTAATCTAAAAAGCTTTTGGATGAACAGACAAACTCAAGATGCGACTTCATGATATAATAGGAGAAAGTCGTGTCTGCAATTGCTAAACAATGCGTATCTATACGTCATTACAATTTTGCTTACATATAGCTATGCATCTTATAAATGGGTGTTTTATTACTAAATCCTCGCTTTATTTTAGGCATCTTAGTTTTTAATAAGACTTTTTTTTTCTAACAGTGACGCCTATACAATCCGGACAATTTTTTTCGTCAAATAAAATCCATTAAAAATCAATAAGGATTTTAAAAGATTTATTATTCACAGCTATTGTTTACACATATACAAAACAAATGCATCATGTGATGATGTAAATCATAATTGAAACACACACACACACACACACACACACACACACACACACACACACAAAAATAAATATCTTTAAATTTAACATTTTTTTTTGAAAGGCAACAATAATAAATCAATTCCACTAAGAGTTTCTGTCTTAAAAACAGTCAACCTAATTATTTAAAGACCTCAAAAACCTCATGGAATCAAAATGCTTTATGATTTTCAATTCTTCGGGTCAAATCCTCTTATTTAATTAGATGATTACCATTTTTTGTGATCGATCACAGTTGATTCCATGCGGAGCATCTGGCAAAATTATCACAACCATTCGCTCACATGTATGGCGTAGAAAGGAACTCAATTGGTTCACTAGCCACTAACAGCTTCATGTAAATTTATCATGACAAGTCCAGGAACTTTTGTACTTTACTTTGATTTGCAATTATTGATACAGTAACATCGGGAATAAATTTAATTTTTCCCTAGCTACATGCGCAGTAATTTCTTACACTTTCAAAAAACAAAACACTCTTTCCCTTATTTGTGCCATTACGTAGGCCATGCTTGCTTTACTTATGTTCACGATATTCAGATAAACCAAATTTAAAAAAAATCAACTCTGCATGAATTCAAGAATCAACAATATACCAAAGGAAAACATTTTTACAAGGTTTAAGTTTATGATACTTATGTTCGAAGGGATCAGGGATATTAATTCATTTCTGCTATACTTAAAACGTGAAGTGTTTGAACACAAGTACAAAATCCTTCAAGTTCACCTATTTACATCAAGATATCACCTACTTTTGACAGAAACATGCTACCGACATTATTATGACACCTATCAAAATGGCATAGGTATAAAATTTTAAAATCGCAAGGGCACCAACATTTATTTTCAAACATAACGGCGATAACGATAATTGTGACACTTCTAAATCAGATTTAACGGCTTTCGGAAACGCTGAGAACAGCGGGAATAAATCGACAGGAAAAGATAGATGTGTTTTCTTTATCGGTTATGATATTTTTCAAAGGATTATTATGAACACATCATGATATGAGGTCGATTAAATCAACAGTGTGTTTCGTCATATGAGAAAGCGATCGCTGCATGAGAAAGCTGAAATTTGATTTAAACATATTTTAAGCATATTTAATATATTTTCATCCAAAGCTCTAGAAATATAAAATTTGAATCAGATTGTAAAGAAGGAACCCTAAAATTAATCGTGTAATAATGTATGAATGTATAGAACAGACTGCGTGCATGACGTGGGAGTTTTTCATTATTACAAATTAAGGCACCAAAAAGCGAAGCATCCCCTTGCTAAAGAGCATACATGTCTATAAATTAAGGCAATATTCGACCCAATGCAAATTGCATCACTTCCGTTATTTACTAAGCCACACACACAGAAATGAAAAGGACATTACCTGGCTATTTCTTTAGTTAGAACCTAAATATTCCACTTATTGCCAAAATAATTATCAAAATATACATGTGCTCAACTTAATAAGAACCTTTTCTACGTTCAAGGGACAAGGTATGGTAAATGCGAAGTTTGGCCCAGTCTTGTTTGATTAAAAAATAATAAAACAGAGTAAAACTTTGTTAAACATGTAAAAGTGTTAAATAAAAACTGATACATTGTGCAAAAAAATCCAATACCAGGAACAGAAAGAGGGTCTTATTCTATCCTGTCTCTAATGAAATATCAAACTGACACACCTATCTTTCATTTAAAAAAAATAGAAGTAACAAAATAATTTTTTACCATTCGTTAAAGGCGACATCATAAGAAATCCTACACTGCATCCTCCTGCGCTATGACCCATCAGGGTCACCTGGTTTGGGTCACCATTAAAGACTTCAATATTTTTGTGGACCCACCATAGGGCAGCTATCATATCCATCATCCCATAATTCCCTGCAATTTCCGGATCCCCAGATGCCAAAAACCCTTTAATGACAGAAAAAAGTTAAGTAAGAAAGAATTTTATTTTATTTTTTCAAAAAGGTCATTATTGTGTCTTTGACATTTTCAGCCTTACTCTAAATTTATCATTTAGGTCTATAAGGGGGGAAACTTACCTAGTGGACCTAGTCTATAATTGATGGTTACAACCACGATATCAGAAGCTGAGAGTGTGGTTCCCTCGAACATAGCACCCATTCCATTGAAGTAGGAGCCACCATGAACGAAAAATAAAACTGGGTATTTTTTACTCTTGTTAGAACTCTGAAAGTAAATATATTATCATTAAGTATGATAACTTCAAAGCGCGTATTAAGTTAAAGTCAAATAATTTTTACTGTTTTAATTGTTTATTTGAAACATATCATCAATTTATTTGATGCACACACCAATTAAATTTACGTTCTCTTTCAATAGTTTTAGTATTTTATCTTAAATTGTAAGTTACTAGTATTGCACACATTCATGTAATGGCTGATATAATAAATTAAATTGTGGAATTGCCAGCAATAATTTGAACTGATGTTTTCTTCAAACGACTTAAGCAATGGCATCGATTCGCACAATATTTCAACGGAGTAGGACAACTCTTCAGCCAACTGCAATTTTGAAATCTAGAGTTTAGTAATTGCGCATTAGTTCGATTGATTAGACCAATGCGTCTGCTGATTGGCATAATTATATCATTCACTCGATCATTTAGCACACAACACGCCATCACGCTTACACAACTTTACAAAACCAACGTTGCTCTTACACACAACACGTCGTCACGCTAACGCCACTTTCCACAACACGCCGTGGAGCTACGCATAACACGCCGTCATATTAAAGCGACTTTACGCACACGCCGTTACGCAAACACACAAAACATCATAACATGCTATAATGTTACTTTACACAATGTATCGTGTGTTAGGGCGGCGTGTTCTGTTTTATATGGTGGTATATTTATGCCATCCACAAAACTTTTTGTTAACATAGCATACCATGTACACACAACACGTCAAGTCATGATAACTTTCTGGCCACAAACCCACTTTATATTTTGTCCAGTGGATATCACGTTTGTTGCGATAACATCTTGACCGTCATATTATCTTGCATCATAATAAAATAGCTATCGCACTATTGCCATTGACTGGACAAGATATAAACACACAAAACAGAAATTTAACATGACTTGATGATGTTATCTTGATTTGACATGATATGCTATGTTAATAGAGCGGCGGCGTGTTCTGTTTTAGCATAACGACGTGTTGTGTGTTAGCGCGATGGCGTCTTTCGTAAAGTTGTTGAAACGTGACGGCGTGTTGTGCGCTTGTGCGACAGTGTTTTGTGCTTTGTGCCTAACTCGATGTTTTCATTTAAATTTGCAAATCGCCTAATCGGGACATTCATATACAAGACCATTCTTTACATAGTTTTAATTGGTTTGAACATATTTTATTGTAATATAATTACAAGTGATCATACTTATAATATACATGTAAATTACACATTGATATGAAACATGCTATATAAAGGTACATTTGATGCATTTTGCATAATTATGTATAAATATATAAAAGTTGAACAAAATCATATAAATAACAGTAATTATACCAGAATGCTTAATAAATGTTTGTTCATTCTCTGCAGCACTCAGTGATTCAACCCCCCATAATAAGACATGTGTATTTATGTGGATTTTATCAAATTGTAAAAATTTATTTAAAAATTCATTTCTGGCGTTCACATACTTTGGACATACGAAAAAATAATGGTATGTGTCCTCAACTTTACCACACGTGCACAAAGGACTTGATATTAAATTGCATCTATAAAGGTCGTTATTTAATACACAATTATGTCGTAGTCTGGTTTGAAGAACATTAAGTCTTCTGTTACCGTAATCAAAAAAGCAGATCTAGATTTTTTATTACTTATTTTAGATTTGAATTTCGACATTGACTGTAAATTTTAATTAATTAAGTGATCAACAATTCTACCAAATGAAACGATGCACATTTGATGAGCTAGAAAAATAACAATATTCATGCATGCTTTTAATTAATTATCTCTCTCATAAATTCAATTGATGTACGCACATTCAAAAAGTGCAAGCAATAGTTATTATGCATTAACATTTCAGTTGTGTACGATTGCTTAAATTCAATCAGAAGGTTTGGAGTTAGGCGCACTAAAAGTCTTTATAAAACATTTTCTGATGGAGAGCATTATCAGGCAGTAAATTGTGAGAAATGTCAAATAAACAAATAACAGGTATATCCTTCAGATTTTGAACATTAGACAAATGTTGCTCGTTCTAATGGCCTTGGTATCTTGCAGATGATTAATATATGAAATTTAATGTGTGATATAACAAGAAAGTTTACTGCGTTTAAGTATATGGGTTTACCTTTCAGGTGGTCACCCGAGCCAAGGTTCAAGTGAGTTTTTTTCTCTAATATCTTCTGTACCTCCATCTGTTTGTGTGTCGTCTGTAAATTTTTCACATTTTTCAACTACTTTATGATCATAACCACTGAGTCAATTTTAACCAAAATCATTGTTTGCAGGGCTAGGTAGGAGACATAGTTATTCAATGTATGGCCAAAAATCTTTATTATAAAAAATTAGAAGACCGAAGTCTGCCATATTTTAATTAAGTATATTCTAGTAAGTGAAACTCAATTTAAATTACATAATAAAAATATAAGCACTTCTGGAAAACAAGGATGGAATTTGAATATCTTACCCCAATACATTCACTTTCTATTACAATTCTTCAATTTATGCACTAAAATTGATGCGTACATACGCCTATAGGCTTTTTTTATTTACATGTTTTAAATAATTTTGACTCAGTTGCGCTTTTAAATAATTTTGACTCAGTTGTGCTTTGTTTATTATTGACCTCTTATTGGGAGTTGTTGTTTTTTTTTTTAAGATTATTAGTTTTTCTATCCATTTTTTCACCTTAAATTCAAACCTTTGTGTTGAACATATATATGCTAAATGAAATGTTTTCGAATTCTGGTAAAATTTAAGGTAAATGTGAAAAAGAACCCCGTTATACAATTGCCCCATCCTGTAACTTTCTACGATGTTATAAAACATCAATTGTTAGACATTATAATTATTACAGCTATAATTAAATAAATTACAATTCAGAAGTAGGAAGATGTGAGTAGATTTGATAAAAAAAGGAGTGTATGTTAATTATTTGCGGAAAACAAAAACAGGAACCGGAAGCAAGAAAAGCGACATGTTTCAGAATGATGAGACAGGAAGAAGTCAGGCGAAACAAAATTTTTAATGAAGATGACGCATTCGGTGGCTTTAAAATGTTAGTCTTTTCACGACAAAAATGTCCGGAAATAGCCGAATATCAGTACCTGTAGTTATGACTTAATTGAGAATGACGCATGATTCTCCTGAAATTTTAATAAATTCCAAGACGAATAAAGAATGATTTTTGAATACTTGTGAAATGGCTATGTATGATTTATTTGTATTCAATCATTTTCTTTATTTTTTCCATTCGTATTCTCTATTTTTCTATTTGTAATTATCATATTATTACAAATGAAAAATAAAATTTATCATTGCTTGATTTTTCATCTATATTCTACTATATTAACTATCCATTTGTATTGTATAATTTTCAATTTTTATATGCCCCGAGATCGCGGGGGTATATTGTTTTTGTCCTGTCTGTCTGTCTGTCTGTTGTCAACATTTACATACACTATAACTATTGAGTGAATGAAGCTATGACATTCTTATTTCAAAGGTTTATTCCTTGTGACAAGACTTTTCTTTGGGTACCACCAAATTTGCCCTCTTTACCTTGGAGTAAAAGAATGATTTTTGAATACTTGTAAAATGGCTATGTATGATTTATTTGTATTCAATCATTTTCTTTATTTGTTCCATTCGTATTCTCTATTTTTCTATTCGTAATTATCATATTATTACAAATGAGAAATACAATTTATCATTGCTTGATTTTTCACTTATATTCTACAATATTAATTATCCATTTGTATTGTATAATTTTCAATTTTTATGCCCCGGGATCGCGGGGGTATATTGTTTTTGTCCTGTCTGTCTGTCTGTTTTCTGTCTGTTGTCAACTTTAACCTAGCCCATTAACTATTGAGTGGGTGGGGCTATGGCTTTCATATTTCACAGGTGTATTCTTTGTGACAAGACTTTTCTTTGGGTACTAACAAATTTGCCCTCTTTACCTTGGAGTTTGACCTACTTTTACCACAAAAAAATATCACACTTTAACCTTGGCCATAACTTTTGAACAGTTGGTTGATTGATTGTATGTTTTTTAACGTCTCTCTCGAGAATTTTTTACTCATATGGAGACGCCACCATTTGCCGTGGAGAGCTACAAATTTTGTCCTCGGCACTTAGGGTCATTGAGCATTGAATGGTCTTTTTCGTGCCTGCACTTACTATGACACGGGACCTTCGGTAATACGTTCTTATCCGAAGGACCGGTCTCCACTGCCTACAGCGCGGGCGACTTGAACAGTTGGAGCCAGGACTTGAACAGTTGGAGCAAGGGCTTTCATACTTAACATGTGTATTTATTATAACTTTTGAACAGTTAGAATTAGGGTTTAGTTTTCATATTTTAAAGGTGTACTCCTTGTAACAAAACCTTTCTTTGGGTACCAACACTTTTGAGCTTATGACCTTCACCTTTGACATTCTTTTTTTAGTGAATTAAACACTTGCCGTAAGCTGCTATACGGGGGCATCAGTGTTTTACAAACACAATCATCTTTTAAACTCCATAATTTTTCATTGCATTCAGTAATTTTGCATTTGCATTGTTTTGTTTTTCAAATAGAATAAAAAGAGAATTAAAAATTACACAAATCAAAAATATACAAAAAGAAATTACATTGAAAAACAATTCAGATGAAAAATTTTATAATATTAAATACAGCTGAAAAACTTAAAGTAATAATAGAATACAAATGGAAACTTATACGATGCAAGCGGAAAATATCTACAGTTGGAAAATTGTAGAATATATAATGATACAATTCAAATGAAAAATTATACAATACAAATAAATGTAAACAAATGCATAGAAAAAATGTCATAAGTACTCTTTTTAAGTATTAGCTCTAAGGTGTTTGCTAAGAATCCGTATCAGCCCTGCACTTTTATGGCTATTGTAATGTCAGGCCTTATGTCTAAGCACCGAATGTATACCGAGTGGTCAAGCCCACACATGAACATGTTATGTA